GAGGGAGGAAAAGGTGGAATAAGAATAACAAAGAAAAAAAACTGTCAGAGAATCTGGGATCTACAGGGGAAGTCTGGTCCATAGGGTAGGAGGATCTGATGTATGTGACTTCACACGTGACTCACGTGAACGTATGAACCTTTCACGTTGATATTAAGATACGTGCTTGGATGCGCATTATAGAGACATCATTCTCCATGATCCTGCTCGGTTCTCACATGTGACTCCTCATACGTTCCATATGGTACTCGTACGTACATATGTATACGTACACCCTGTATATGAATTTTGTATAGTTCGGAATACGTTCGGAACAAATTTTTTTTAGATCCTGAGGTTTTGCCTTTATTTCCTAAATTTTCTTTTCAAACTTAATTTTTTTTTTCTTGAAAAGACAATTTGACTCCTCGCTGCTCAGGGAGGGGAGAGACACGTATCTGCTGCTACCTTTCTTTATTCTCAATGCGTACCGTGTATCTGTATAACAGCAGCACTGCCAAATGGCGAAACGTCTAATTATATACGTCTGCCGCTACCTGCGGTAATTTGCATGTAACTTTACGCGCGACGACACGCGAGAACCGAGCACCGCCGCTTCCTATCGAAACGAAACGCCTGGACAGAGGCCGCAGGCTCTACCTGGAGTTACGGGCTGTCTACGTGAGGTGTGAAAATGACGGATAGCGTCGGGACGCTCGAGTATTATCGCCCCCGGGGCTTTCACCTTTTCTTTGAGCTACATACAGTCCTTGTTCATCATCTACATACACCACAGAGTCACGTACACCGTATGATTAATTTAACCATTTGAAGAACTTCGAATGGCTAAGGCAAATGGTAAAAGGCCATGACCCGGTAAAATAGGCGGGAAAATGTTTAAATTCAAAAGTCCGCTAACACGAAAAATATATAATTTCGAATAATCGAAATTTACGAATGATAAATATTTAACGGGTAAATAAAAGATTATTTGTTATCGATGAGTATTGAAAGAAAAGAGCTGGGGGTCCTAAAGAAGGGGGGGGAGCGGCGAAGGGGGGGTACTATGGTTAAAGGGATGTGAAGGAGGGGAGGGAAGAATGAAAATTCAGACCCGATGCTTTGGTATGGAGCTACAGAGGATTGGTTGGCGAAAGAGTGACTGCGAGGTGCACGCAAGGACGCGGGGCGTCGCGACGTTATTACACGGTTCATTAGGGACGCGCGCCCGCGGCGGCGTCGCTATTCGCGGACTAAAGTAGAGGGAAAATATAGTGCTGGCGCAAGAAGGAGGATGCGCCTCTATCAGCTGCAGTCGGCAACCGCGCCAGTTATACGAGCCGACCAACCAGGAGCGGCGTCAGCCAACCAGAGGAAGGCGCACTAGGTGCACGCTATACCGTGCCAGTCGGAGCCAACGGCTAATGAGCAGAGTCTCAATGATGCCGAACAAATGAAAAATCCGCTTCCCCTAATTACCCAAGGGTAGGTCGTTCCTCGATTCTTGCCTTGGCTGGAGAGATCTCTAGCCACCTGGGGAATCTTCGAGGAATTTAGTATTATCGTCTGGAGTGCCGTACGATGTACCTTTACCGAACTAACGAGATACCCAATGATAACTGGTAAGATTACTTTTTTTTTTACTCTGCGGATGTAACATAAATAATAAAATGCAATTTCGGTAACTAATTTTAGTAGTGACTCTGACCGCGAAAATTTTCAAACTGAAATGCAATTTTTTTCATTATATATTATTATTGAATTTTTTTTCAGCAAGATCTTTTCCTTCAGTAATTCTGAGCAGATTAGGTAGTGGTAATGTAGATGGGTAGATTTACGAATTGGGTCCAGACCGCGAGACGAAGGTTGGTTGGTCTGTCCAGGGTCGCCATTGTTCGTAAAAATTAACTTGGGATTTTTATTTACTACAGGAGTTGTATGGTTATTGCGTAGATAGGAGTAAACCGGTGCAGTGACGTACAGTGAGAGAAAGAGGAAATCTGATCAATTTGAAAACTGGTCCAGTATCATTTTTTTTTATTTCTGCCTATCCACCATTTTTCCTAATTTACTCTCCCTCTGTCGAATACTCCCATATCCTCGTCTCGCTTCCTCGACAATTTCCAAGGGGAATCCTTGCTTGTCTCCTGGATCAGAAACTGATCTCGTAGATCCTGGACCAGGTTACCATCCTACGGCAGGTTATCCCATAGTACGTAGGAGCAACCCAGAGATATTGCCAAGCGATTCAGTGGTCCGCGTAACGTGGTCCACGCTAGTTTTTATGGATTCCGGTCCGACGGGACTTCCGGTACCCGATCTCAACTCCATATCCTACCCTCAACTCTGCGAGTTCAGCAGGCCCACTACAGTCACCCTCGTCCGAGCCAACACTCCTTCCTGATCCCTGGGAACGACCCACGCCCGTTCTGTCTCGCTGCAGTAGAGATGGACTTCCGCTTCCTGTACGTGATTTGTCCCCGTACGTACATGGCGTACAGAGGCGCTTGTATCTGTCCTAGAAATACGACTGCTATGAATATACACGTGTCCCACTACAGTACAGTAGTATCGTATATCTATAGGTAGACACTGTATAGAAACATATAGGGTAGCCATTTAATTAAATCAAGTTATTTCGTTCGTCTTTCTTTTTCCAAATTTTTTTCCCTATCATTTCAATATCAAAAAGACGCAAGGACTGTACGATCCCTTGACAACTGGAGAAAAGTAGATGAAACGACGATCATGAAGAATGCAGGTGCAATGCTGATGAGGTCCTTAGCCAGAATCGAGGGGCAATGGAGATACTAATACAAGGAGTAGTAATAGGGTGGCTTGAGGTGCCTCTCAAATATTTACCATCCCTGGTAAACAGGGTAGACATTGTTCCTCGGCGCTACCATGTGTAAATTTAATCTTCCATAGGGGACGCGTGCACCGGGGGGAGTGGCAGGAGCGGACGTACATGTGGAGCAAGTGGCGTCAGTGAGACAGAGACAAAAATCTTGCAACGTGGGACTGAGATAGAGCTAAAGTGGCAAATTTACCAACAGACGGACAAACTTCCCAAAAATTGAAGTACAGGTCCATTAGTAATTTTTATATAAATTTAGAATGATTTACAAGATCATCCAATCGAGATGATTGACTGTGAATATTTATGCACAGAGTTTCTAGGTAATCCAAAATTCCTTTTAAACGTCTATTACATGACAGGGACACGGGTTACAAGTTCAGGAGGTTACAGAAGAAGAAGATGCTGGAGATGGACCAGAAGAAGGGGTACCAGGGATGATTCGAATAGGTTGGAATCTGCTGACTCGTCGCGGGGGTCATCCCTGTGGTTCAAAGCCGGTGACATCTTCATCTCCTCGTGTCGATTCACCTGGTCCCCCTTTTGCTCCTCCTTCGTGGTCCCGACCAGAGGAACCCGAAACTGATGACCGAAAACGCTGCCGCCACCAGGTCCGATTCCTCCTGCACGCAGAAGAGATAGCGACGGGGTCCATCGAAACGCGGCATGACTTTGCGTCGCTTAACGCCTCTATCCCTTCGATCCCTTTGTCGGCTGATCAAGACCCGGACACCTGGACACAGTGGTGTCTGCTATCTCTTCAGGGTCACCTAGAGTGGCGTAGACATTTTTTCCCCCATACATTAGTCATCCTCTTCTGGGACCTCTTCATCGTCCTGGTCCTGTCTCCGTTGCACTTGCCGATGACGTATCCGGTCTTGAGCTCGTCCGTCCGTCTGAGCGACAGG